TGCAAAAAAAAAAAAAAAAAAAAATCTGTTAGGGAAATTCTAGATGCTTGTGGATTTTTGACATCTGTCTTGGGAACCCCACCGTCTGAAAGAGCCTAAGCAATTAAATCCACCCCAGCTGTGTGCATTTGCACACCAGCAGGCTCACAAGTACCCACCTCATTCCTGGAACCGCATCACTTTTCTCAGCGTCCTGTGGTTCGGTTCCAGTGCTGAGAAAAAGGGAGCCTGTGCCCTCCCCTCACACGACGCTGACAGCTTTATCGCCTTCTCCTTTCTCTCCAAAATGGTCTGGAGTTTTAAAGGTTTCAACCCCGATATAGGTATGCAGGAAACTATCCCTCTCTGAGAAATACACATACAGATTCCATGCCCGGCTTTCCGGCCCGGGCAGGGAGGACCCGTCCCCTTACCTTTGTCATAAATTTCCTTCAGGACGCCTCGTTTTATCAGCTCCTCTCTGCTTTGCCTCATGGATATTTTCCGTTCCAGGGCTACAAGCGAAACACAAACAGAGAAGCAGTTGTGAATGGGTAACAAAACAATGTTTTTTAAAGGAATCATATTTCAATACATTGAAATGGAAAGTGTGGGAAAGCTCCTGTAAATTCTACTTTACTAACATAAATTAATGGTATCAGCTAACATTTTTACGATACCATGATAAGCATTTTAATCAGATACTTCATCTAACCTTCAAAGCAATCTTCAAATTAACTATGACGTAGGTGTTATTATTCCATTTTATTTACCCCGATTTACAGTTGAGGAAACTGTAGCAGAGAGAAGCCCAACAACCTGTCAGTCACAAGGTCACCGAGAAGAGGAACCAGAAACGTTACCTCCGATCTCGGTCTAACCTCTGCGTCACAATGCATTTCCTGAATGTGGTAATTTTCACGGGTGGGATTTCTTCTTTAAAGATCTAGTTCATGTAGATCATGCCTCACTGAGAAATGCTTTGCTCCCCAGCTCTTCTTGCAAAAATGGTACGTAAATATCTCCTAAAGAGCTCTCTGGATGGAGACACTGAGGGGAGGCAGGGGACCTCCAGGGGACAGCCCACCGCTGCTGCGGTCACTTGGCTCCAAGTGGGAGCTGCTGAGCGAGGAATGGACTGTTCAGTTACCAAATGCGCCCCGACTGGGACCCACCACTCACCTGAGCCAAATGCTCCAGAGGTGGGAGCTGGAGGGGGGAGGGAGCATTTCCCCCTGAATCAGGAATCAGTGGGCATGAAGGAGGGCAATTCAAGTGGAAAGAGAGCACAGGAGGGAGGAGTGAAGGGCAGCACTGAAGGGCAGGCCTGCGGCTCAGGTGAGGTGGGGGGATGAGCAGCACCCGGCTAGAAAGCAAGCTATTCCAGCAGCTGGCACTGTGGTTTCTGGGTAACACCGAGTGCAGGGGACGCAGGTTATTTTGTTTGCTTTTGTCAATTTGAGGATCTCTATATCCTTTCGATACACAGTTTTTCAGGGGGAAAAAGCCAGTTATAAAACAAGGCAACTATTTTATGTAGACAAATTCAGATACAGATCTCTCTCTCTCATACATATAAACACACGCAGTAGCCCAGTGTAATTTAGTCCAAGGAACGCCAATAAGAACCGGGAAGCAAGCAAGGAAACAGGGGCTGTGATCCTAACTCGGTTGCCCTCTGCCTCTGTGACCTTAGTCAGGTCACTTGGCTGTTCCGGGAAAACACTGATGTAATAGGTCCTGGGTGGGACCTGGACACCCATATTGTACTAGAAAGCTCACCCTCAGCCATATCAAGACTGAAAGTCACTAACGATATGTTTTAGGACTTGCTATTTTAAAAAATGCTATGCTTTGACTCTTTCTGTTAAATTGCAATGAATTACGGGTACGAGACAGAGAAAGAAATGTTAGGTTAGGCGGCACTTGCGTATAGCTTACTGAGAACATAATAATAAAAGAGATACATATAAATAAATACCCTCAGAGGTGAAGGCAGGAGGGTTGTCAGGAAGCATCAGCGGAGGGTGTAGGGACCCTGGAGCAGTATTTGTTTGGGGAGATGGAGGGGTTTTATGACCCATACCTAACGTGGCAGGAGAGCAGGAAGATGGCCTTTATGCCCAACAGGAACAACCAGAGAAGGGAAAGAGCACTGCATACAGTTAGGTTAGAAAGTTCTGCCTGCTTTTAAAAAGAGTTGCTTAGCAGCACAGTAGGAAAAGACTGGATAGCAAGGGGAGACGGGGGTTTTAAGCAAGAAGCTTGTTACCAGATCTTTTGGGTGAGACAAAGATGTGCGTTCCATCCCGCATTAAACCACATACATCGACCAGATTTCTCTTAAACAAAATGAGGTTTCCCAGGGGCTCTTCAGAACCACAAAATAAAGTGGATGGACTGGAGCCATGGTGCTAAACAACGTACCTGCAGCAAGAGGGGCAGAGCCCTGGGCTTGGAGGTCCGAGACTGCAAGGATCAGAACACAGACGATCTCAGGCCAAACACTTGGCCATCAGGGCCTCAGCTGTCTCATCGCACTCACTCAACAACCGACCTGCTGCCCATGGTGAATCCACTCTGCCAGGTGCTGGAGGCGATGGGGACCAGCGGGACAGTCACTCCCCTCACAGAGTTTACAGACCAATGTTCAATTCAGAGTCATCAAATGACATTACTTAATATGTGATTACAAATTGAGATAAGGCCTCTTAAAAGAAAGAGACAAGGTTCCACCAGAACATATGATACGTAACCTCCCCTACTGGGGCTTGAAAAAAGGTTTTTCTGAGGAGGGTTTGAAAAGATGAAGCTATATTATCTCAGCAAAGGACAGTCAAGAATGGGCTTCAAGAAACGNGGGGCTTGAAAAAAGGTTTTTCTGAGGAGGGTTTGAAAAGATGAAGCTATATTATCTCAGCGAAGGATAGTCAGGTATGGGCTTCAAGAAACACTCCAGACGTAACAAGCTGGGCAATGGCTCCTGATGGAGAAAGCATGGTGCCAAGGACAAAACGAGAGCAAGCTGATGTAGCTGCAGGCACCAGCAACAGGCAGAGAAGAGTCCAAGATGTGCCCAGAGGGGCGGGAGGGCTGGGGCGGGCAGGGCCTCATGGGCCGTGTTATTCTAAGGGCAATGGGAATGAATGATAAGAGTTGAGTATCTTAAAGATCATGTCCACTGTAGTGTGGAGAATGGACTGGAAGCAGGCCAGGTGGTAGCTGATCACAGCAGTCTAGGCAGGATGATGGCAGCTTAGACTAAGGTGCTGGTGACAGAGATGGAGTCAGAGGGTGTGTTCAGGACACATGAAAGTGGCCCTGCTGCCACGACTTGAAGTTAAGAATTCGACGTGGGGTGTGAAGGAAAGAGAGAGGGGTCAAGGACAACTCCTTTGGTTCCTACTTGCACAGCTGAATGGACTGGACGGTGGGGTCAATGACTAGGGTAGGGGACACAGGGTGAGAAACAGGTTTGGAGGGAAGGTGGAGAGCTCAGTGTTCGTCATGCCTAAGAGGAGACACCACGCATGTGCTAAGGAAATGCAGTCGGAAGTATTTTCTAAAACAAGAACGGGGAGTTAAATGAGGCTGTGCTGTGTGGTACTGACTATGCTAGACTCTCTCATGTGCCAATGCTTCTCAAGTTTTCCATGGAAAAAGTCCTGATGGCAAAGAAGTGATGCCAGGGGCTCCAAGGGTATGACTGAAGCTGCCTGTCCCAAGCATGCCATTTCTTTAATGCATTGAGTTTTTGCTTAAGAACTAAGGTGGGCCTCACAGAATGTATCTGCTCTTATTTAAATAAGAAAATATTCCCTCCCCACTACCACCGATTTCTAAGTTTGATTGACATTCTGGGAAGAGATGGCTTATTTATTCTTTGGCATTGTCCATTTCCTAGTATGGAGCCCTCTGCCCACAGGGCAAACACAGATCAAAAGGGCGGGATGTCATGTAATTTCACCTAATTCTCATCACAGTCCTGTGAAGTATTCACATCCCTATTTTACAGACGAGGTACCTGAGGCCCAGCAAAAAATTCCACACAGTCAGTGGAAAAGCTTAAAGAGATGTTAATGGCTGTTCCCCCCTTCCCAATACAACATTGTTGTGAAGATGGCTATAATGTATATAAAGCTCTAAATATAATCTAATGCATAAGGCTCTAAATATGGAAGGCAATTTTATTATTAGTTTATTTAGGGCTCAGCATCACGGTAAAATGACATAATTACACTGCATTTTTAGGAGCGTCTTTCTTCCAAAGATATTGTACATATATACACCGGAATATCATTCAACCATCAAACAATGGCATCATGTCATTTGTGACAGCATGGATAGGCCTAGGGAGTAATATGCTAAGTGAAATAAATCAGACAGAGAAAGACAAATACCATATGATTTCACTTATATGTGGAATCTAAAAAACAAACAAACTCATAGATACAGAGAACATTTTGATGGTTGCCAGAGGTGAGGGAGTTAGGGGCTGGGTGAGAAAGGGGAAGGGATTAAGATGTGCAAACTGCCAGTTATAGAAACAGTCCCAGCATATTGATGTAAAGTACAGCCTAGGGAATATAGTCAATAATATTGCAATAACTATGTATGGGGTCAGGTGGAGAGTAGACTCATCAGGGTGATTACTTGGTAAGTTATATAAATGTCTAATCACGGAGTTGTACACCTGAAACTAATATGACTACTGTGATTGAAAAAAAAAATTTTAATAAAACAACAAAAGAAGAAATTATGAAAAGTTAAAGAAGTCAGAAGAAGAGGGGCAATGACCTGGGGAAGAGTGTATTGTACCTGCTCGTAGGACAGCAGGAACACATCAGATAAGTGGGACCCGACCATGATGGTGAGCCAATTCACTGGGGGATGTTTGGTCTCTGAGAGGTGGGCAATGGAAGTTAAAAGAACAAAACCACTCATCTCTTTCAAAAAAGAAAACTGAGAAACTGTCTTGTTAGATGTGTGGCAAAAAGCATGTGCATGGGTAATCTTTTCAAATAAATGAAAAATAAAATAAAAAAGGACTTATTTTAAAATAAGAAAATATATTATAAAACGTAAGGTCCCTGCCTCTAATGTTATCCTGTTATTAAAGCAGAAGGCAGTTTAAACTGAGTGACCACATGTGGAAATGTTCTTGTGTAAGCTTTTTGGTTATAAAACTGGATCGTGGTGATAGTTGCACAACTCTTTAAATTTGCTAAAATCACCATGTTGTATACTTACAATGAATTAATTTTAGGGTATGTAAGTTATACCTCAATAAAACTGTTAAAAAATGAAAAAGAAAATACTGACCACAAGGAAAAATTCCCATAATGGCAAAAACATCAGTTAAAATCAGTAAACCTAAGCAGACAAGTAAATTAATAAACTTTAGGCCATGGTAAGCAAGAGAACAACATTAAAGTAAAAGGATTAGAAATATAACATATAATAGTACATTTCTAAAAACAATCATTTAACCTCTAACATGGCAGCACCAAAATACTGTATAAAAAGCAGGAATCTGATTACCCCCCAAAATGAACATAGAGCTCAGACAGTGTCACTGCAACTCCTTGGACCTTTAGAAAAGAAGTTTCCAGGCTGCAGTAAATGCAGAACACTGTCAGAGGCTTTCGAGATGGTCCTATGGCAACTGAAACATTAAAGCAAAATTGCATAAGCCAGTAAATGTGCAAAGACTAATTTAGGGGCATCCAGTCTAAGGTTCTGTGCCAACAATGAGATAGCTTAGAGGATAGGAAAGGGGAAAAATTACTGATTTGCTTTTACAGTCTGACAAAAAATTAGTTGAGTAGATCCAAACACTTAAAAGGAAGCTTCACACACCTCTCCTGCCTGAGATGAGTGAGAGAGGGATTTCTCAATCACTGTACCAAAAATAGCCCACAATGGCACCCCAAAATACTATATTCAAAGGTTGGCACATCCAAGGAAGACTTTCCAAGCTTGCCATCAAACTTCACCTTACTATAAAAACCATGCAGAAAACCTTGACAGGCATAGTTATTCTTGAATTTTTATCACCATCTATTAATCATGCCTTTATTTTTTGTATTTTTGATGTGTTGACATCTTGGGGCTTTGATGATCCTGAAGAGCCTGTCTCTCCCAAGGCTAGCCAATTCCTGCAGATAGTAAAGGACTTGCCTGTGAGTGCACCTTTCATGTGCAAACCAACTAATCCGGATCCCATACCTTCGACCACCTCCTTTATCAGTTCTTACACTGCAGGACACTGTTCCCTACCCTAATCACCATGGAGCCAAGTACCAGACCATTAGAGACGGTCCCTATATCCCAGAGGCTGCTAAAATGATTCAAACTAGCTAAGTGAGCCTGCTTTCCTTGTCCTGCCCATTCTTTCCCATAGAAACCACAATGAGAGGCTCTTGCCCATGGTTTCCTCCCACTCTCTGACTCCTGACAGACCCTGGTGCTTCCCCATATGGCCCTCCATGGTGTGGCATGACCCTTTCTCTTGGGATCTGTGAGTATAGCAAACTACCTTTTCAATGGCAGGTGTCCCCTGATCCGTTGGCCTCACCATACCTAAATAACTGTAAGACCTACATTTTAAAATCACCTATCCTTGCACTGGTTTTTAAACAAAGAAAAAAACACTAGGGGGATTTTCCACAGCTTTATGTTCCAATCTATTGTTTAAAATGTTTCCACAGCTTTATGTTCCAATCTATTGTTTATATTTGAGCTAGTGCTTTAGAAATGGAAGGACTGGTGAAGAACTGTCCCAGGAAGAAAATTCCCGGAGGGCCCAGAGACTAACCAACGATGGAGTGACAGTGGTTCTAGTCTAATCACTTTTGTAAGTTCTTCTGAGCCTCCACTGCAGTTGATGCCGAATTTACTGAAAGCAACGTTCCTCATAATCTCTCCTTAATTACTTCCCCAATCTCATCAATGTGGGCTTGTGCTAAACCAAGGAATCCTGTTTCTTTGACATCGATGAGTTTAAAACAGGCATCTTGAATGGGCTCACTCTCCTTAGTCAATGCCTGGACTGGATGAACTGTTAAAAATAACTAGGCATACTCTTTTTACTTTTTGCATACACACATATGCTTTTATTTTTTATTTATGAAAATATTTTCACTTTAAATAATTAAAAAAAAAAAAAAAAGAGAGAGAGAAAACAAAGTCCTTTAACACCTGGCTCTTTCCATAGACCCAACTCACCAAATCTCACAACTGCCCTCCTTTCATATTTGCTCTCTCCCTCCTTTCTTTCCTCCTTTCCTCCCACTTTCGCACGTACTCAAACATCCCCATTATATATAAATAGAGTTTTTAAACACAAATGGAATCACTGTGCTCATATTGTTCTACGAGTCTTTCCCCTCTCATTTATCAGTATTGTCAGGGCTCTTCCCAACAGTACATGCGGAAGCACCTCATTTTTTTTGAGTACTGCAATCGTGACAGGGGGTATAAGCACCACATTTGATTTAACCATGTGCAACTGAAGGACATGTACGTTGTTTCAAATTTAGGGCATACAGACATTGCTACTGTACATAGAATTTTTCAGGCACATATGTGAACAGGTATAAGAATTTTTCTAGAAAATATCACTAGACAGACAATTTCTGGGCAGGGCAATACAATGAAAGGAAAAAGCTCATGTTTTATAACATTTAAGTAATGCTATTTTATTTAAAAAAAAAAAGCCATATTGATGCTGGAACAAGTCATTTGGTTCTACTCAGAGTAACAGAGCAAGGGCTTACTTAGCTTTTTCTCTAAGATATATCTCTGTTGAATTCTCCACTCAACTGCCTTTAAATTACATTCTGTAGGGAAGAGAAGTTTGAAGGAGGGGAAATGATTGAGATACGATTAAATTTTCAGTAGCTTACTTTAGAGTTGCATACCTTCAGTCGTTAAAATAGTCAACCTATAAGTAAAATCTGTAGCTTTTATCCTTTTAACATTTTACAACTCCAGTGAAATGTACTTAGGGTAGAAATCGACGCACCTCCACCCCGTGGGCCTTCATGAATAATGAGGGATAATGCACAGCGCCCGCCTAGAGGGCCCGAAACAATCAACCCGCATCGCACTATCTCCAGAGAAAATGCTTTCCTTTTTTTTAAGATGAAGATGCTCTGTTTCAAAATTAAATTTATACAAGAGAGCAAGGATTTGGAGAAGGGGGTAAACCTGGAGGCCGTCCATTAGGAAAGATCAGGTAGCAAATGCCAGTTGATCTTTCATTTCATAAGGAAATTAATGAGAAAAGCAACACGGTTGCCAATCTCAATGCTGTGCTGAAAAAGGAGAGAAAGTAAAAAAGAAGGCAGCTCTATGCGTCTGGTTTCGGACAGAATGGATAAACATGTTCAAGAAGTCATGTTAACCTAGAAGCAATTTGTATGAGCACCAAATACTATGTTTTTTTCTAACGCAGAAGATGTTTAAGAGTCTTATGAATATCTAAACACTTGCCAAATATGGAAGAACGAGGCAAGGAGGTTTTTAAGAACTTGCGTGCCTAAGATGAGCTTACTGAATTACTAATTCCAAATTAATTTAAAAAAATTTGTCAGTTAAGGCCAAGTGATCTTCAAAATCAGAAACGTGACCAGTTTAGAACGTTTTTCCCTCTAAAACTCCATCCCATGTGGAAATGCCATCTAAAAGAATCTAAGGCTTAAATGCCCCCACGGTTACAACACGAACGCCAGCGAGTGTGTAAGTGCAGGGAGACAGGGGCCAAGCTCCTGTCTCGGACATCGCACACTCATTGTTCCTGTGAATGCCGCCTAGCAGCTGGGACAAAGTCTTCATGGCCCAAGAGGTAGGAGACGACATTGTTCACTTCCTGTTGTTTGTGATTATATCCAAGTCACCTAGATCAGCACTTTCTAGTCTGTTGTGCAGAATAGTAACCCCCAGGGATGCTCTGAAGAAAGGGTTCCGAGGACAATCATTTTGGGAAATGCCATGGACCGCTGGAGAATCAGTGGTCATTAGCACAAAAATACCTACAGTGAAGAAACCGGCTTCACTCAGTTTAACCCGGTGTTTCTCCCAAATTCATTTGACAATGTGACCCTTCCATGGAGTACCATGGGGCTGCCACTCTGAGGAGAATCTCTGGGAGACGTTGACCTCAATACCAGGTTGCAGGAAGCAAAGGGACCAGGGGGGTCAGTCCATCTAACTCAGCAGGGACATAGAGGGGCCAAGACCTTCTGTCAAGAGCTTTCCGGTAACTGTCTGGATCAAACACAAAGGAAAACCCAAAGTCCTGCAACATCAGCCGAGCAAGGCATGACCGACCTGGAAGATCCTAATGGACAAAGTGACCAGCCGTCTATCTACCCGTCCTCCTGGTGGAAACTTTAGCTAGTAGGGGTCTGATTCCAGTGAGCTTCCTGATGGGCCAGCCCCCCATGCCCTCCCCAGATAAGTAAAGGCTAGACTTGTTTAATCTTGAGCAGCTCACTACCACATACTATCTGCCCCAAATAACAATTTTGGGTTTGACATAATTGATATTAGGGAATTCTTTCTGACAGTAATTCAGACAGTAAAATTCCCCTGGAGTCACAGAGCATGGGAATGGGACACCTGTCATTAGCACAGACGAGGCGATTTGGTCTCCTCAATACTGTGGGAGACGTGCCTACAGCCAGGTCCCACAGGAGCTCTGGCCACTAAGTGATGGGAAGAAGGAAGGATCACAGACTCATTTAAAGCTGTAAGTTGTGCTGTTAAAAGTACATTCTCCATGGATCTTGAATGGATCTTGGTTTGAACAAAGTGTTCAAACCTGTAAAAAGCTATAAAAGCGTGTTGGGGTCAGTTGGAAAAATATATGAATATGGACTGGGTATAAGAAAATATTAGGAAATTATTATCAGTTTTGCTACATATTATAATGGTCTTGTAGTTATATAGGACATTTTCCTTATTTTTTTTTAGAGATGCACGATTAGAGAATTCAGTAATTTATTTTAAAACACTTCAGAAGAAAACACAACAAATTTGGCCATATCAAATCACTGTTAGGTGATGGGTAGATAACTATACAATTATACAACATGATCATTGTACAANAGAAGAAAACACAACAAATTTGGCCATATCAAATCACTGTTAGGTGATGGCTAGATAACTATACAATTATACAACATGATCATTGTACAATTCTTTCAATTTCTCTTAGGTTTGAAATTTTTCAAAATACAAAGTAAATAAATGAATCTTACAAGTCATGTTGAGTGAACAGAGCAACACAAAAGAACATCCACATATAGTTAAAAAACTGACAAAACTAAATGTGTGGTTTAGAGATCTCTAAACTTTAAAACTACAAAGAAAAGAGAGGATATGATCAAACTAAAAATCAGGTTAGTGGCCACCTTTGGTGGGAGGGGGAACTGCCATCAGAAAAGCACATTAAGTGTCTTCTAGGTGCTGTCCATGTTTTCTCTTTTGACTTGGGCGGTGGTTACAGTGTTACTTCATAACCATCTGTTAAACTGTGTGTTTATGCTTGATGCATTTTCTCAATGTGTCCTATTTTCCAAAATAAAAACATTAAGAAGACATTCTTACCAATCCTGCTTCTCTTTGCACTCCTGCAATAGTCTCTGAAGGGGAATTAAAAACTCAGCCACCATAAATGAAATTATGCAGTTGGCCAGCAGACTAACTCTCGTTAATGAAAGAAAGGGTGATTATAAGGCAATAAAAAAGACAAGTCTTTTCCTGGTCTTTTGTTCAAATAGGTCAGACCAGCAAGTAGAAAGAAGGGTTGCCCTTAACTCTTGCAAGTCTCTAGGTAGCAAGACAGAG